TCTACAGGTTATATAACACAATTCATTTTCCCCAAAATGCAAAGTATATTTAGAAATATTCAAATGGGACATTATTACTCTGTATAGGATGTCTTATCTCAGCATCAAGGGCTGCTTCTGAATTGCTAGAGGAGGCTCTTTGATTATGCAATCCAGCTTCTAAAGTCCATTCAAAAGACGAGATCAACCAGTGCACTGATGCTTCCAATTTAAACTAGGAATCCTGTAGTCTCTTATCCAGACCTTGTCTGACCTAAAAGAAAATCACCTCCTAGAGGATTTCCATGGCTGACTTTGTGACAAATTTGATGTGTACTGAAGACGACTCAATGTCTACATGATTCCAAAAATGATTTTGCCCATAGTGTACTTTTTTGCCCTAAAATACCTTTTCTGTAGCTTGTATGGGTTGGTTTATGCTGCTTAATGCCATACAGAAGCACACAATATTCTGTGATAAAGATCAGTGCCGATGTAGATTTTATATTCTATAACTTAAAAAAAAAATGATATTCAAATTTAAAGAGGAAAGCTTTTGTAAAACAACCATTTGAAATTGTATTGACATAGTGAAGAGGCAGGTAACAACAGGTTAATGGGTTAAAACAAAGTTCACTGTTAAATTAGGTACGAATTAGTTAATGGTAAATAGGGATAGTGTGGATATCCCTAATTATGGATTTATCTGGGGATTAATAGAGAAATCCACAAATAATCCATAAATCCAGTCACTTTCTACCTTCCAACCTCTGAATTTACAAATTGACTTTTTGTATATTTGTGTGCCTTTTAAATTACTGCTAGGGGTTCAAAACTGGAGGAAAATGCAGGCTGTCAACAGGAACAGCAACAAAGGCCCCAGATTATTAATAATCTGGGAAGTTATGCCATAATTTTTATTTGATCATAATCAATACTGTTGCTGTTGGAGGCTTAACCATTGGCACTGAAGGAGTTAAACAGCATCCCCCACCCAGCCTCTCATTTCTAGGACCCCAGATGATGAAGTAGGTAAATATGTATTCCATTCATTGGTGCCTCTGACCTTGGTCTGTGACAGAGGAAAGGCGTGTCTTCTCACACTGTTCCCTACAAAGAAAAGGCAAGCAAATGAGGGTGACTCAGGACTTCTAGTGGCCTACACACGACTGAACATTTTTCTGAATGATTCCACGTATACACTTTGGAATCAGGAAGAGAAACATTTTACTCTTCACTAACCAAATAAAACCATCTATAAATCATATGCAAAACAACTTTGAGTAACGAGGGACTTAAGTCTAGGAATTAAAAGGAGTTCTGTATTTTCCCTTTAACTTTTTCCCTCCTTTGGGGAATAAACAAAGACATCTGCCACATCAAGAGTCTGGTTTGTTTGTTTGTTTTTTAACTGGAAACTGAATGCAATCATTAAAGTTTACTTTGGGAGGAGCTTCTGAAATCTTAAAAATTACTTCTGCAAGCTGCAGTCTTTTAAATTTTACTAAAAATAAAATTTAGCATTTTTAAGTTAAAAAAATAGTTCATTTCTTTTAATCTGATTACTAAATGAAACATCGTGTTGTGTATTATAAGCTATAATTAACTTATTAAGAATATGGTTTCTTGAAAACTGCCTTAAGCAGGCTACTAATAAAAAAAAAATTATTGACATACACATAGTGATGGGTCCCCCAAGTTACCGGACCACCCCTACTGAAAATATATTCGGTTACACATTAACTGTTGCTGTTTAATTTGAAACACATAGTCAGTCTGTGTGTACCCTATCCTCAAACTCTTTGTCAGGTTCACAACTTCCTTTTGTAGGAGTCTGCCAAGCCATTGATCAATAAAATGAGTAAAGGCTGCAAACATCTAGGAACTGTCTTATGATGTCTTGCAAATGTGTCCTGGTGCTTCCCACCTCTTATCTCTTATTTATAAAATTCAGATTTCAGGACGTCAATAAACCTCACACCTGGCTTTCGCTCTGACTTTATTCCACAGCTTTCCAAAAGGTAGGCTATTTTCCCCCCTCTTTTGTCTTCAGTGCATTTCACACAGCCCAACATGGCTGGTTCGTTCCAAAGCTTTCCAGCAACTCCATGTCTCGACAGCCTTTTCAGTGTTGTCAGGATCTTCCTTCGAGTCTACGATTGCAGAGTGGCTGGCTCTGCTGCAAGTTGAAAAATAAACAAGTGCTTTCTGGCCGTACTTTGTTCAGCTCTTCTCTTTATCTGTTTCCCTTATCCAGTTGCCCTTTCCCCCGGGTCCCTAGCACTTTTTTTTTCCCCCTACCATCAGTTGCCTTTTTGTTCTGGGTCTTTTTATCTCCTGTTCTTCTCCTGCAGTTCCAGTCAAACCCCAACCCCAAACCCACACATCCTTTGGTCACATTGCCCTTAGTGATTAAAACAGTAGCCATTCTGAGCTTACTTTAAAAAATTAAAAAAGGCCTCAGAAAATGTTCAGTGCTCCCAATTTTATTTTTATTTAATGCTAAAAGTTAAAGAAAAAAAAAGGTACTGTAAATCTGACAAATGACAGAATGCAGGTGATTTTTCCATAGCGTGATTTTAAAATATAATAATGTTGATATCTGAGATTACACTCACTTCAGCTGACATGAGTTTCATCATATATAGAAAAAGTATCACCTTCAACTTAAAAAAAAAAGTAAAGGTTAAAAGGTGGCACACTTTAAAAATACTTGGTGGCCAAGGAAAGGTATATAGTAAAAGTTGTAAACCATGTGTACGTTCTCATAACTTTTAATGTGAGGCCACATGAAAGACAGCACATCTGTTATATTCTATAAATTGTTAAAGCAAAAAAAGGGAAAGCTTCAACACCCCATCCCCTAATATTTTGAGTATTAAAAGCACAGCTGAAATATTTAGGATCTTAAATCTGATACTGCCCATGTACAGTAAGTAGCTTTCTGACATTTTTATCCAGCTGTGGAGAATCTCTGCACTGTCATCAGGTACAACAAAACATCAAACCCATGTCCCAGTGTTAACTTTTTAACTTAAGAGAATGCCAGAAAAATAACCCGGATCAACATTTTACAGCTGCAAGCCTTCCACGAAGGCCACCCAAGGGCCAGGCGGACTCATGCAGACCTTAGTTTTTAATGGGAGTAACCTCAATACACAGCCCTTTAAAGCTATTCCTATTCTCCCCCCTCCTTACACACCAGCACAGAGAAACCATAGGTTGTCTTTTCCACAGCTGGATAGACTTATTCAAAACAGCAGGATGGTTCTTTATTATAATCTTTTTTGGAAAGCTTATCTGTATTGAGATTTCAAAGCATACAGATAGCTACCACGAATTAGGTCAAATGACTGATAAACTTGTAAAGTCTATGAGGTCAAATTCCAGTTTATAATAAAGTGCTTAGATACACATTTATACAACAAACCATAATAGTTGAATTCTTTACACATATCTTTATGGGCATGTAAAATTGACTCTGTGTTTCTGCATGTGTGCATTTACATAAGAGAAACCAGTCTGATCTGAGTCATAGATGCGCCAATTAAAAAAAAAAAGTGTAACAACAAACTGGTTAATCATGCAAGTCTGTTTGTAATATAACAATGACCGGTAACATGAATTTGCACAGCATTAATAATAGGTGCACTCATTAAAAACACTACCAAAAAAATACTGTATTTGGTGCAGTATCTGATTTTCAAGTGTTAATAACTCGACCATTAAAAAATATTTGAGCAATTTAAAAAAGAAAGACAAAACCGTAACTAAAAAAGAATCCAAAAAGGGTAACAATCTCTGTCTTCAAATTAAAACAGAAGCTAGGTCGTAAACGATACACATAAGTTGTAGTAGACCTTGAAGCCATGATTCAGCCTAATTAGAGGGCCAAGTTACAAACACCTGAACATAAAAGGATTTAAAATAGTGTTCCTGTCAATGTTAAATCGTAACAGCACAAAAGAAAAACCAGTATCACTGTGAGACAACTATTTCTAATAACAGATGATTTATTGGTTTAAAAAAAATCATTTTACTGATGCAAAATAATAATCAAAAGAAATTAGTTTACAAAAGGTTTCTAAGAATAGTTTGAGAGGTGGGGCCTGCCTATTATTAAAACCCTTTCTTTAATTTTCACTAGTTTATCTTTTTTTTTTTTTTTCCAGAAGAACAGTATTATTCACTTGGTATTTCAAACACACGTAAGAAGGAAATTACAGGTTTCCTCCACCCCCATCTGGGCTGTCACTGATATGCCCACGGGCAGTCCTGGCAGCACCATGCGCTGTTACTGTCATTGTACCATACTGTATTTAGCACTCACTAGAAACAGGGTGTAGGTGATAGTACCAACAGCAATAGCACTACAGGTAAAATGATAAAACAAAACAAAACACAAAACAGAAACGAAACCAATCCCACAATCTCCAAGTTCACCTGAACTGTAACTTCTCTTGCGACTCTTTTCAAAGGAAACGACACCACCAACAACAAACAGAGCTCTAGGGTGTTTAAAAAGATGAAGTGGCGCTGCAGAGCCAGGCTCCGTTCAAAAGATAGCAGTGCCATCTTGTATACACCACCATCCATTATCACCGCCTTCAGTCACTGAATTGTGTATTATGTAACCAACTAGCATGCAGCATTGTAATCTTACAACTGATCACGTGGGCAGTGAACAGTGGTCAACTTTGCCTTTTAAAAAAAAAAAAATCCCCCCCCACCCGCCCCCAGAACCACACAGTCCTGAAAATCTCTCAGCAGCAACTCTCAGGCAGTCATCAATATCCCAACAACTGAAATTTAAGAACAAAACAGAGAAAGATTCAAAATCTATTTTCCTACTACTCTGAGAGGACAATGTTTTGGGGTAAACTTGGTGACATTTCTCAGTGGCATGCCGCCCATTTCACAACAGTGCCCCCTTCGCTCATTCCCTTTCCTTCTCCACCAACTGGCCTCCAGCCTGAGAGAGGGGCCAGCAGTAAGGAATAACAGACAGTAAGGCAATCTTACAATGTCAGAAAATGTATTTGGCTTTTTTTTTTTTTTCTTTTTAAAATAAGTGCATACAAATACAGCTAGAAGCATTTCGGATTTGCCAAGTGCTCTAAAAAAGCAGCGCAAGTCACAGCCTACATTGAACGGTAACTGTCACCAGGATAATAAAGCACAAAGATATGCTAATAACATTAACAAAAGAAGAAAATGCCTTTATAAGTACATACCTTTTGTCGTCAAAAAAAAAAATATAGAAACACAATGTATTCAAAAAAAATCAAAATTATACAGCCATGTTTATGAAGTCTACATTTCCCTTGTCTTGGATATATATATGTGTGTGTGAGTGTGTGTGTGTGTGTGTATATATATATATATATATATATATATATATGGAGATATATACACAATTCAAGCAGTTTTAGTTAAGGGTAATTCATTGGGTTTTTCTGAAACCGGAAAGTCACGAGTCTCTCTCTTTTTTCACTTTCACATCTCCAGCAAGGATGGTTGCAATTTCCCCTTGCATAAAGGCCCAGGGGACATTGGAGCCCACAAGAGGGCATTTTTCCCCACTGGGACAATAGACCTCTCCACTAGCTCCCTGCTGTTTGATGCTTTGTCTGGAGCAAGGGAAGCAGAACTTGTGCGAAGGGACAGACGGGCACTGCACAAAGTGGGTGTCCTCCAGCCGCTCGTGGCAGAGGGTGCAGCACAGAGGGGCACTGGCTGCCAGAGAAGAGTCTGGGAGGCTGGCAGGGTGCACTGGCTCCAGTCCTCCTGTGCTGCCTGCCCCCTGGCCCCCCACCTCTCTGGGGCCTAGCCTTCTTTGGTTCATAGAGGACGGAGAGGGTGGACTGCTGCTATTCCTCCTGGTAGTGGAGTGAACCTGGTTGGCATCTTTCGAGGCATGACTGCCCCCTGCATTGTCTGCTACTAAGATCAGGGCTGCCATGGGCGACTGGCCGTTCTGAGCCGCTTCAGGCGGTGTGGTCCGGTTGGAATGAGGTGAGGCAGTGGGTGGCGGTGGAGACACAAAAGAGGATGTAGGAGTAATGGGGATCTTGAGCCCTTCTGTGGGTGTGGACAGCCATGGCTGTGCCTCTCCATTGATCTTAGGGGGCCCGACTTCACCTTCTGGTTCTGGAGAAGGCTTTCTTTTCCTTGCTGTTCTTGCAACTGGCAGGGGGTAGGAAAAGAAAAGGGAAACAACAAAACAAAACAAAATAAATGGATGTGCACGGAAAACGACATGTCTTTTACTAACACCAAACAAGACTCACTAAAGAATTTCTATTTTCCCAAAGCTTTTACAGAAAAATCTCTCGAGTTTCAAGTGCACGTGCAACTCACAACACTTAAGACTTACGGGGCTCTGGGGCAGGATTTTAAAAGGCCACAGAACAGAGCAGGTACGTAGCGGCCTGTTTTTACACACGCATGCATGTACCCAGGTTGAACTGTGCATACGATTGCTAATGTCCCCCAACAGGTTAAAAGGTGGCTGGTGCCCTCATGCTTCCATCCAAGAATGTGCTGGGAAAGGAAAACCCTGTGTCAGTGCTTATCAGCCCAGTCTGACTCATCTCTGTTATGCTGCTTCAGCACATGAACACGTTGCCACTAAGCACTGGTTCCGCCTTAGGCAGATCAGGAAGTTGGGGGTTTGTTGTTTCTGGGCTGGGGTAGAACCGGTGAATGGAAAGAACACCCCCTCCTCTGCGTCCCCCTCTCTCCCCTAGGTCCCCTCACTCCACAGCCGCCCCTACCTGCTTTAGACCCGTTGGCCCCGTTGGCCTCGAAACCCAACAACCTGCCTGCAGTCAGGGCCGGCTCCTTCTTAAACTTGCTCTCGAAGGGCCCCGAGTGGCCGTGCTGGTGCAGCGCCAGCAGCGTGTCTCGCACGGTCTTGGGCCTGTTGACCCAGTCCTGCTCTCCGGGCCCGCGGCCTTTGCTCGCGCCCTCGGCGCCCAGCTCGGTGGCCCCGGCCGCGGTGGCCAGGCTGTCGGGCGCGCCGCGATGCGAGGGCGGCGGCGGCTGCTTCTCCTTGGCCGCCGCCTCGCGCTGCTCGTGCTCCACGGCCGCACTGCTAGACACGGACGCCGGCCGCTTGTGCGAGCTCAGTTCGGCGGGCTGCGCCGAGCCCAGGCCGGCGGCCGCGGCCCCAGACACGGCGGCCAGCGAGGCGGCGGCGCGGCCGCTGAGGCCGAGCGCGGCGGGCAGCGGCGTGGCCGAGCCGTTCATGAGCGGCACCAGGGTGGGCGGCACGGCGTGGCCGCGCCGCGGGTTCGGGCTCTGGCGGTTCAGCTCCGGGGGCTCCTCCAGCTTGGAGAAGCCGTTGGGCACCAGGATGCCGTTTACGGGCGGCGGCTGCGGCGTCGGCGGCTGGGCCAGGCCCGTGGCCGGGCGGCTACCGCCAAAGTCGGAGCCGAGGCGCGGGGGCCGTTCCGCGGCGGCCGCCAGGGGGTAGCGCTCCAGGGCCTGCGGGGCGCGCGGGGTCGCCTCGGGGCCGCCGTGGCCCAACTGCTGCTGCTGCAGGAGGATGTCCTTGGCCGAGAGCGGCGGCGGCTTGGCGGCGGCGGGGGCCGCGGCGCCCGGCGGGGAGCGGCCCTCCGGGAAGCAGCCGTGCGCCCGCTTGAGCTGCCGCGCCGTCTCGATGACGAACTCGACGCGGTCGGCGCCCTCGTAGTTGACGCAGCCGCGGCACACGGGCTCGGTGAAGTCCCAGATCATGGCCCAGGGCATGCGGGGCAAGTCACACAGGTAGCACGACTGCCGCCGGGACGCGGCCGCCACCGCCACCGCCGCGGCCATGTCCGAGGAGCCCGCGGCGCTGGAGGTGGAGGAGGAGGAGGAGGAGGAGGGGGCGCCGCCGCTCCCCGCCGGCACCACGCGCGCCCTCCTCCCCCCCCAACCCCGCGTCTCCCCCACCAGCGGCGGCGGCGGCCGCAGAGGCGGCGGCGGCGGCGGCAAAGCCCGCGAAGGCTCGGCGCCCGCGCAGCGCCCCCGGGGCACGAGGGGAGGAGGGGGAGGAGGAGGAGGAGGAGGAGGAGGAGAGGGCGAGGGGGCCAGCGCAGGGCTGGGCAGGGGCAGGGCGGCCTCTCCCCGGCCGCCGCGAGGTGGAGCGCGCCGGCGGGTGGCGGCGTGTCCGGCCCTGCGCCGGCCCGCCCGCGCGTCCCTCTTCCCGCCGTCGGGGCAGCGCGGGGCCAATGAGGAAGTGCTCCCCGGGTCCGTCGCGGCCCGCGCCGCCCCCTGCCCGCTACTTCCTGCCAGGGGTGGGGCAGGGGTGCCCCCTCCGCAGACCCCGCCGCCCGAGCTACAGCCGGAGTTCCTGACCGTCCTGCGCAGTACGCGGAGGGGCCCCCCTTTCTTGAGGGGGGCTGTCGCATTCCCCCGGGCCACAGACCAGGTCCCCAGTCCTTGTAATCAACGTCCAAGGGCCGGGGTCGCAGGTTGGGATTTTGGGGGCCGGACTGCCGGCGGAGCCGGGCAACAGGCATGCCGCGGCGATTTGAGTCAGACCTGCCCCCGGCGCTGTGTGACCTTGGGCAAAACGCTGGCCCTTTCTGGACTTCACAGCGCCAGTTCTCAGGCGGAGAGCTGACAGCCCTCCCAAATTTAGGAGTGGGCAGGTTGGGATGACCAGTTTGTGGTTTTCTTAAGAAGTTTATTAAAGGTGCG